ATACAAATATATGCACACATCCGTATTTTTTACGAATTAAAACGGTCTGAATTTAAAACATTAACTACAAAAATAATTTAATGAACAATTTAATAACGATATTTATGAAAAATGTACTAAAATATATGCACTTGCAAAATTTCGCATATTTTATTGATTTACTGAAATAAATATTATATTAAGTAATATTAACAATAGTAATATAATAAAATAACTTATTATTATAATAAAATTAGTTATAAACACTGAAGTGATACGAACGTGTTAATAAAATGTTGCATAGTCTTTTACAATTCTCTTGATAACGGAGAATATTGAGGTAAGTAAATAGCGACTCTGGCATCTAGAAGCAAATTGCAGGGAAAAGTGCTCTTCTCCCTTTATCAAGATCGTTACGGTGGTTCTCACGAGACGCATTGTATTATGCATATACATTTAGACTGCATCCGTAAACTCGACTTTTTTCCGATAGCGCGTCCATAGAGGTCCAGCTTAAACTCGCCACTTCACCAAAACAAGAAGTAGATAATTATACTGCAATATGTATGTATATCTACGTAATAAAAGCAGATTATAACGATAACATGTTCCACTATATGTAACTCTTTTATTACGCATGTTTCATAAACACATGCGTAATATTCATACCTATATATTTTAAAAAATTATCCGCATTGCGGGAAAGCTCAGAATTAATTACAACAAGCACAATTCAGTTACTATCGGTTTTTAATTGTGAACATAATTATTCTTGGCAATAGCGAAAAGTAAATTCTCTTCATTAGAATACGATTTCTGATAAAAATAAATTAGAATTTAAATTGCTATAGTCGAGCTTGTAATACTTTCGAAAATTATTAATTTTGAAAGTAAAGTCTTCTATCTCATCCGAAATTATTCGATCGACTTCATTGTTCTTCCCGGTGTGTACCCACCGAAACGACAGCTGTCCCAGCGGTGAAGCGGCCAACCGCGAAGTGAATAGCGATATCCGTAGGTGGGCCAGCTTAACATCGCCGACGTAATACCCCGCTCCTATACTCCTATTTCTGCGAAACTATACATTGAAACCGGTCTGAACTTGCTCGCCTATTTACCAGTAGACACGTCGCAAACACATAACTCCAGTGAGTTGTTGCCGACTGCGATTTTCGTGCGAGCGCGCGTATGAACGTGGCGGCCGCGTGCGCTGCATCCGATCGAGTTCCTTATTGTTCGAGCAGACGGAAAGAAGACTTCCCGTGCATCTACTTCTCCAGCGCCGACAACGTCCATCCAACGCGAACTTTCGCGATCGCGACGGAGTTTCTTGTTTCTTGTCGAGTGGCGAGATTTTGGGGAACGAGCCATGATATCGCGCAACACGCGCGCGTTTGAACGACGTTCTAACACAGAGAGAAAAGTTAGTGGACGGCGGATGAGGCAGAAAAAGCCCTGTCACAATGGAGGACGTATCCCGTTGTTGCGGCGAGTTGCGCCGGCAACTTTCGAGTTAATCAACCTGGCGTTAGCAGTTTTCCTTTATCGTCTTACGTTTTCTATAGAAAGGAAATTGAGAGAGTTACACTCAGAAGATTACAGTCCATCAGTGTTGGTCTTTCGACCAGAGACGAGAGCAGTTTCTTCTTAGAAAAAAAAAATATATTTTTTGTGAAAAGCTTCACGAGACTTGGATCAGCGAAATATTACACAAGCTGAATTTTTATTGCTCGACAAATCAAAGAATCTTGCAAGTTATGAGAATATTCAGACCAGATATTTTTTAAGCGGACGTGACGGAAGTGTCACCCGCGAAGTTAAAGCTAATGGATCGAATCTTTCATTCTCGTTTATCGCGTTGGTTAAAATATTACGATATCGACATATGGAGATATCTAGACTCTTCGATAGGCACTTTAACTTGAATGTTTCTCACTATAATTTTTAAGCTCACGTCTCTGTCGGTGTCAGCCAATACTCGAGCCGTGTTTCGATTTTTTTGCGCTTTCGCTCTCAGGTTCTGTGCAGGATGTCTCGCTTAACAAGGGCGGTGGAAAAGTGTTTTTCGCCGATAGCGGTATCTATCGATCTCTCGCATACGTGTCCGTTATAATTAGGTCAAGAGAATGGAGACGTCTACGAAATCGGATCGGCCATTATCGAAATCCGTTGCTCGTAAATTTTCCGCGATACCATCGGCAACTGCTGCCTGATGCCAGGGCCCCAACGACTGTCGATTAGCGGATTAGTATTATCGGTCTTCGTCGTGCCATCATTGGCGTAGCGGAACTCAAAGGGAAGCCATAAAGCTTTTCGCGTTTACGATCGAAGATATTGCGCTGAAGTCGACGCAATGATCGCTCGGATTGCATCATCGACGTATCGTCGTGATCGTTTAACGGCAATCTTAATTTTATGTCGGGAAGGGTCTGTAATATTCTTCAACGATACGAAAATAATCTCTTTCTCTTCCATCACTATGACTACCGGATAATAATCGCGATCTCATCGTTAATATTTTAAACCATCTCTCTTCACCGGAATTTCGTATTTTAATCTTACAGTTTAAACGCTAATTTCGAACTACAGCCTCTTGAGCATTCGCGAAGTCAAAGCATTAAACCCTCGAAAGACAGTAACAGCTATTCCCCTCTAATGGCGTCAAAGTTGATCGAAACCCTTCTAGCTATGTCGTAAAGATTAAAGTCCTGAAACGCTGCTTTTCCGCTCCATTAGTCGTTGGACACCTTACAAAGCATTAAGGCTAGGAAGAGTATGATTAATAAAGAACTTTTTGTTCTTTATGCCGACAGGCAAGCAAACAACAATTATATACATTCTCTTTCCCTTTGATTAATTTATGCTTTAAGTAACTTTTGGTGTTGCAGTGCGATTACGAGAGTTCGCATAAATTTTCATTTGTAGTATAATTAAATATATTTCCTTTGTACACGTAGACTTGCTTGCTTTTAATTTCCGACGTGCTCCTTTTCTCGTATTTCTACAATTATGCAGACGGTTAATTTCAAAATATTATCTAAATGTAAAATTAAAGAAAGTGAACACACAATCAGTTATTCAGAAGATATCAGGTGGCAATTATTAACACTCGTGTTCCAAGTACAAGAACAAGTAGACATAGTAAGTAGAAAAGATTAATACTAATCTTGGAACAGAATGGCGAAAACGTGCCTTATTGCGACTTCTCTGCATTGCACTTTGATAAATAAGTATCTCTTTCACCATGAAAAAAGTTTATAGTTACGACGATATGACAGAAAATGTATTTAATATAGTCTAGTCTAGTTTAGTGAGCAAAAGGCGCAATTTTGTCAGATAGGTTCCCAGCAAACATATGACATGCATTTTTTCTTCTTCTGAATGTCAGATACAAAGAATACCTTCGCAGTCAAAGTAATTACGTGTGATGTAAGAATACCGGCACAGATATTCGGCTGGAATTATAGACGTGAAATCGCGATAAAAATTGCCGAGAAGACAGGATTGTGTTTCGTTCGAGGGAAAAAGCTCGGGGAAAAGGCCGGCCGGCAGCGCGGCCTTTCGCAAAGCGAGATTAAAAAAGTGCTCGCGACTCTAAAAGTATAAAGCAGAGAGAAAGAGATGCGCTTCCTAAGTAAAAATCCCGCTTCTTACAGACGCGAACGAGAATTTATGACTGTTTATGAAACGCAATATATTACACGTGAAGATTGGAAGATACGAACGAGCGCGTTAGATTTTGCGACAAATTTCCGTTTAGTTTATAGCCTCGTACTAACGAAACATGTTTCGTTAGTACGAATATGTTTCGCGTTGTGTCAATAAATACTCTGTTTTAACGATGCAGACTGGACCGCAGTTGTCGAGAACGACGGTGCGCAGTGTGCGCACAATGAGTGTGTAGAGCGAATCAACAGCGACTTCGCGATTGTCCGAAGGCGCGAGAGAGCACGAGTGGTATAATAAAAATTAATGGCTCCCACGGTCAGCTTGTCTACATTTTTTTGCCGCTTGCAACCATTCTACCTGCATCGTTACATAATTCTGTGTTACTGCATTGCTGCAGCCGGCAACTACACAGTGCTCTTTTACAATGAAAGACTATCCAACTCGCTGAATCGAAAATGGGTAGCCTTACATTATAGTCTGTTCGCGCATAACTTTGGTCTTTATCCCTTTACGAAATATGACTTTGGGAATAAATCTAAAGCGAGATCTAAAGTTATGCGATATACGAGGTCAGTTCATGAATCTTACGTACATTTTTGAGAAATTTGAAAGCTGATAAAGTAATGTGCGTTTTTTCGATAATATGTTGTACAATTGATTACTGACAACTTTTCTATCAGAAATAAAGACAATGACAAAATAATGATAATATCGTAATATAATAGATATACGCATGAATCTATGGATTGTAAAAAAAAATTGTCATCACGATTAAAAATACGAAGATACCTCGGAAAGATTAATCAAATACACTCCGCAAATCAAACAACGGAAGTTCTGTCGGTCTGTCACAATGTTGTATTAAATTTTTAACTTTATTAAATTTAGAAGTTCTAGTTACATAATGTTAAAATCGATCTGTAGGGCGGAAATTCCAATTCATAGTCGTTTTCAATTCTTATTTTAAGAAGATAACATTAATTTTGATAATTGAGATATCCAGATTTAAATAATGTTTTAGAATTGGACATTTTCAGAATTACAGAATTCATTCTCCAATGTTATCTTATTGATGCTATTTTATTAGTTCCAAGAAACTATTGCAAATCTTATCCATGTAATTTTGCATTTATTTAATATTTTTTCTCTATTATAAATAATTAAACTATTTCGAGAAGAAGTCACGTAAGAAATTAAAGTTTCTAACAATGCTTTTCATTAGTGGCGTCAGATTACGTGTACATACATATATGTGTGCCAACGTCCGTACAAAATAATACACGATTCATTTATAATGCGAAGCAATCGGTAACTGTCGACGTAAAAGCTGAGAAGATGGTGTTTGAACTTACCAGACTGTCCTCTGTGCGCGGGTATGGCGGGGGCGGGCGGTAATCCGGTGATGCTGCAAAGCGTCTGTCCACTACCGTACTTGATATTTCTGCAGTGACACGGCGTGGTGGGCGTCGTCAGTCCCTCGTTGTCTCTGACGGTAGCCCCGATCACTGAGATCTCGTCGAGCTCATGCCCGCTGTCGTAATGGCACAATCTCGTCGCGCTGGTGCTGGCCCCGCCACCCCCGACGCCGCTATCCTCACCGGCACCGGCGTCGGAACGACCGCCGCCGGTGCCTCTACCCCCGGTCCGGCCCCTAAGCGACTGCACCAGTCGCTTGGCGCCCGAAGACATTCCACGGAGGTGATCCAGCCTTCCGGTCTTCGTTTCCTCTTGTCCTGTTCAAAACCGCCCGAGTACACGCCCGGGGATGTCCACCTAAAATTTGCACGCTTTTAACCCCCCAGTCGTCATATATGTGTATATAGTATTAAGTTGCTGCATAAATTTCCCGCTAGTGAGAATAAGATTCCGAAGATCCAGTTTCCGCAAACGTCTTGTAAGGTAAATGTATCAATGCCTGGACACGTATACCTACGTCTGGACATTTTTATCATTTTAGTCCTTAAATAAGTTATGACGCGAATTAAAATCAAAGAGAATCAAAGATAAAAATATTTTTTTTGTATTATATTGTTATCTTTGATTTTAATTCGCGTTATACTTATTTAAAAACTAAAATGATAAAGGTGTCCAGACATAGGTTTTTTAATACATTTACCTTATTTAAGATCGTGTTGTATCACCAGCAATACGATTATTTGTTACAGTTCCCAGTCTTTCTTTGTCCCTCCTTCATCCTTTTTAGATTTTTTTTTATTTATATCTGTAACACGGGATTTTTGAAAAACGCAAACACTCGCAATACCTTTGTTAGTGTTATATATATATGATTTGTATTGTATCCATTGTATTACAGATAAATTGAGACTCTCGTAAAATATGCTGGTGTTTTACATCGACTGCATTAGCGATTTTAATTTTGTTAACACGATCTCTTTCAAATATGATGGATGGAATTTATGCAACAATATAATACAAATTAAATTTTACTGTATTATAACATTTAACAATCGGTCGATAAACGATCTGAATCGTAGTTAACAGTTTCGACTACTAAGCAGTTCCGTCTGACTATATGAGGCTGTATCTACTTTCGCTCTATATATAGATAATATGAATGATGCCTCTGACAATGAGAAACAAATCACCTATAAAATTGAAATTCACCAGTTTGCCTGAAGCTACGTAATAGTTTGACTTGTGCAGAATAAAAATTTGGCCACTTTTAGCTCCGACGGACATTTGTGATAAATGATCAGTCGGCTACATACATCTCCTTTAGTCTCTACCTTTCCGCCTTATCGATTTTGACTATGAAAAAGCAAAGCGCTTATAGAAGAATGTGATAACTTTTGATAATACATGATAGATTGTCCTTCATCTTCACGCGTGTATCGCGCTTTAATAAAAAAATGTGTTTTTATGAAATATTTTGTAGGTCGACAGGAATATGAACGCTATAATCTAGACAAAAAATTTAATGAAATATTTTAATACGTTTAGAGATAAGTAATTTTATGTTGAACGATACTTGTATACAAAGAGCAAGGTACAATGACGATCTTGGGAGGGATTATCGGGATTAAAAGTCTTCGACCCTGGTTCGTTTCTGACAATACGAATCTACACAATAAGCCGGCTAGTAAGTTAGAAGAGAAGGGACACACGAGACCACACACGACTCGAATTCGACGCGATGGAATGTACTTACCACGTGGTGATAGCCGCCCCGCAGTGGTAGCTCTGCTCTCTCTCTGCTCACTACGTGTACCGCCAACGGTAACGCCGCGCACGATCGCGACCGGTGTCACCGAGCGTAGCACATGATCGCTCTCTCTTGATCCCCGGCACGATACCGATCCGGCACGCGGGCCACGCGTCTACGATACTCCACTTCCGTGCCCCGATTCCGGGCTGCCGCGCTACCGATTGTTAATCGAGCCGCTTGAGCGTTCGTACGCACCGACGTGAAGAGCAGCGACGACGGCCGACCACCGAGGGGGGTCGTACAACGATCGGCGGCATGCCAAGTGACGCCCGTCGAGCACGTCGCTTCCGGCACCGATCGCTCGACAACACGCTAACGATCACTGTGCGTAACGATCGTGATGGTGGTGGCGGCGGCGACGGCCGGCGTGCACTTTTTGCGAACGGTGATCGATAGGCGTACGAGGCACGCGTCGCTCGCCACGTGGTCGTTCGCGACCGTCCCGTCGAGCGACATGCCGCGACAATACGGTCGGCCCGATGGCCCGCGTTCGCCGGTGGGAACCCCTCGTCGGCACACTCTACGCACTCTCGCCTCTCCGCGACACCGAGGACAAACGGGGTCCGTGTAGCCCTCTCGCAACCCTGTGGCCCGATATTGACGCCGACAGACCCTCTTTAAGGGACGGTCGACGTGCAACAAGTGTCTCGAGCGACGACACTCGTCTCACGTGTCGCTGCTGCCGGCTCTCGCCTACTCCACGTTCAACCACTCTCGCTGATAAACTCGATACCCCGCGTTCGATCCGTCCACGGCTGGAGAACTCGTCTTCGAAGTACGTGGATACAGCGCGACGGTATCTGGGGAGAAAACAGAGAAAGCAAACGTTATTTAGTGAACGGGAAATGCCAGTTGTTAAATACGTTAAATAAAGTACGTTAAAAGAAAATTGGTTCTTGCATTGTTTTAACAGATATATCGATGGGTTTCGTGAACGTGAGCGGAATTATTCTCGGAGGTAACTGGTAGAATTTTCATGAGCTCTCTGTGAGGACCAGAGACGGCAGAGACTTCTCTTCAAGGGCTAAGCGCTCGACGTTGATGGAGAAGTAACGAGCTGGAGATTAGGATGTGGCCCGTTCGAAATTGCTAATATCGATTATGCCGAACCTCAAGTTGCGCGGAACGGTTCATACGTTCGTTATGTTCAGATTAATCTTGAGGGAATTGGAGCAGCAAATAGGTCGTGACGGTCTAACATATCTCAAATGAGCATTCAAGTCGTTCTTAGGCCAGATTAGAAAGATTTTCGTACGTGCGAAATAATATATATTCATTACATATTACATAATTCAAAATAATAATAAAAGTAATCAATTTAATAGAATTCGTTGAGACGAAAGCATTACCGAAACAGCAATTGATCGGTTATTTCGCGGATTTTGACAGAAATATGATGTTAGATTAACCCTCCGTAGTCACACCGGGTCAATTTGACCCGAGCCTCAACTTTGCTCGTAAATATCTTGCGCGTAACTTGAAAATTGGCGGGCATGACGCCCTCTAGCTGTAGTTAAAAAAATTTTTTTTTTTTTAAACAAATTTTTCGCGAATTTTTTTTATATGTTAAAAATTCCTGGGGCCCTTCTTTTTTTTATAGCAATCAATTTAGCAATATCGCAAGTGCATTCGAGAATTTTTTCAACACGATCGGTGGATAAATGGTCAAATGGCGAACGGTCAAAGTTCGTCTCGGGTCAAAATGACCCAGAGGACTTCCTTGTTTAAAAAAATAGGTGTGACTACGGAGGGTTAAATAGAGAATCACACATTAGATTTGTATTTTTCGATAATTATTAAAACGTAAATTTTTTCTTGGCGCAGTATTCTATGTCACAACTACAAGATCGAAATTTTTAAATTACTTTTTAACTCATATAGCTCATTGATGCATGTATGCATCCTGTCGGATGACGAGATGATGGATGCGCCGTCGCATTAGCTGTATGCATATTTTGCAACCATGCACGGCGGCGCGGAGGTATATAAGTATGGACATGGACAGGAAGATGGTGGCTGGGGTAAAAGAGAAAAGGGTATTGTATATAATATACATATAACGAGAATATATAGGACCAAGCAGATCCTGAATATAGGGACATTGAGCTGTCGCTAACCTGACGTATTATTTTACCTCCTTATTCTCGCGCACAAGAAAAACAGTGCGCTCAATCGTTTGACAGTCGCGACGCGAGAAAATGCCCCTATACGATATTTCACATTACAACGACTTGTTCTCGCGGAAATGATTTCTGCACCGTCCTCTTCCTTCGTTTATCGCAGGTTTTGTCGAGACGACGTCGCTACGAATTGCGAAGATTAATAAAGCAGTTGCACGAAAACTATATAAACTTTAAAATAATAATGCAAATTGTTAAATTTTAATTTGTTCGTTATAAATTGCAAGAGATTAGCAATGAACTTATTGAAATATATCTTGTTTCCCAATGGACGCGATCAATTTGATTCGTCTGTTGTATTATTTCGCAATCTTGCGGATTGTGATCGATAAATAATTAGCCAGTGGGGGGACGTAACGATGCTCGACCTTCGAGCAACGCGTTAAATTGATTCCGCATAACAAAGAACAATGGCTGTTGCATACGGGATGAATATTAGGAGTCCTTGCACAGCATCGGATAAATTATGTAGGCAACGAGAATCTCGTTTTATTGCCGGCGGGGTCATCGTGCCACTGCAATCCAGGCGTAAACTCGACGGCTCTCTCTCTCATATGGAAATCGTAACTTGAAAGTATAATATGGAAAAAATATTCTAGCGGTTTCTCTACGTTACCAGAGCGCCTCGAGAGCGCGTTTGTTTTAGCTTATAAAAATTCCGGTAAGAATCGAAGTGTATTTATCCCGCGGAACAGAGGAAGTATATCGGGTCTGGAATAGTCTGGAAAGCACATTAAAAGTTTACGGAGTTACGAGGGTGTGCTTTGAGTGTGCTTCGATAAATCATCCGTTGAGACCTTTCCCTTAAAGATTTAGACGGAGTTCAGCCGTAAGTCCTAAGCCGGTCGCTAAATATTGCGTAACAGCCAAAGTTTCGGTGGTTAATTTTACATTTTGTTGGATCGTAAGAACGAACGAACGATAGGTATCTAATCGCGATATCGGAAACGGAAAGGACGCTTCCGTCTGCCGAAGAGAAAATAGAACACTAACGAAAATAAGTATAAATTAATGTCGCGCACTTCATCCGGAATAAATAAGCGAGCACGCGGCTCAGTGACACTCTGCGGAGCAATCTGTAGTGCTTAGTTTTAAACTCCAATATCTTAGTTCATGGCTCTGTGTTAGTGCTTAATCAGAGCGGTGTGTCGCTGCAACGTATCGCTCCGAATTGCTTTCATGTTCATAGTTTCATAACGACGCTTAGGAGATTTCATCTGTCATGGGAGCGACGATGCTGCGCAATTTATATGGCACCTATTACGGTACAAATTGCAGGATACTCCAAAGGATACTTTCGGAAAAGATAGAACTACTCATTAAATTGAATTTATTTTTATTAAATTCTTGTTTGCCAATAATAAATAAATTTAAAAAATTACATTAGTGTCTTAAGTAGAATATAGCATTTTGATGTAACGTGTAGCCATTTATAACCGATGTTTATGTTTATAAAAATATCTATAACAGAACGTAATGTATAATTCAAATTTATCCATGTGTGATACTCCATTTTTATTATTATTTGTTTAATTTATTAGTAGATGCAATACGGGTAGTGTCCAGTCAAAATCTGTTCAAACATTCTGTCGAAATTCGTCGAAAATAAATCGCGTACAATGTATATCCCCGTTGAAAATATTCCACAAACGGGATATTCGTTTGCAACGACCGTCATAAACTGTGCGACTCCATTTCCCTGATATTTTTTCAATTGCGTTTGCGCGCACACGACCGGTGCGAAACGTTGTGGCAGTTGATCGATACCCCGAACGGGGTACACGAGATTTTCTACATCAGGTATTCGAGAGAAAGGCATTATTTGGTGACAAATCTTTTCATATAATTACAATCTATTCCGATTTTTATCTTACCGTACAATTACGCAAGATAAAGAGAACATATATAGTTTGGCTCTATTCCAGGTAGTAGAGTGACGTATTAATAACATCTTAATGATGTCTCTAACGTCAATAATACGCCATTAAGACGTCTTCACGACGTCATCCTGCTACCTGGGATGGTAGGTAAATTTTCCAGCAGGAACATTTTATTCTCAGTTATTTTATATAGGAGCACAAAAAAATGTCTTCAGATCCCATTTTCGCCTTAGTTTCACCGCTGGCGTAGTGCGGAAATTACCGTGAATTTAACTTGCCCGTAGGTGCATCGACCGAGAAGGATTGCGTTCTGCGACGTTACGACGTCGTGCATGTTCTGCGGCTGCAAATGGCCGTGTGCTGTCGTCGCCGACAATAAATGCAGACACTGCAGTTTCTCACTTTACGGTCGATGCGTCGATGTGTTAGCGCATTTATATGTCGGTGCACCTCGGCGTCGGTTGATTGCGACGAGGTGCAGCGCGACGCGCCGCAATAGACGAATGACTCGCTTCGACTCGACTCGGCGGCCTCTGTTGTACATGCACGCCGATGAATCAGAACGGAAATCTCCGATGGACGAAAACAAGCGACAGAGTCGTGCATGCGAGCGCGCGCGCGCAGGGGTGTAAATGTAGTGAATTTTTTACGACCCATCGATTCCACCGCTAATGGAAGTTCCGATTTTTCGCATTCGTTAATATACGCAAAAGGATGCTGTCCGATGCGTACTGTCGTGTAAGCGATATTTTCAGCGGGAGTTATCGATTATCGCGCATACGGCGAATCATTTGCATCGTCGACGCTCGGAATGCATTCGATTATTCAAATTTGATAACCGTGTGACCGAAGCGAGAACAACTCGCGAATTGACCCCCCGAGGTCCGCCGCGGTATTATTCTCGTATTTTTGCATAAAACGCAGCTCTCGCGATTGAAAAGAATGACCGCGGTAATAAATGGTTTGGGTGGGGGAAAACAGGATTTGTGGAAATTATACTATTTGAAAAAATGCGAATAAAAAATAGACGACGCGTCGCGTTACCTCAACTCACGTCACAAAGACTGTCCCGTTTTCGTTTGTCGAGTGTATATACGCTCGAGATCGTATTCTAATATTACATTTTCGGGGGAGTTTAGCTCAAAAAATTGTATTTTGAAACTGCAAAAAAGTGCACACGTTATGTAACCGGAAACGAACGTTGATGGGCGCGAATGTTTCACGATCCGATGAATCGCCCAATGGTTATTTAAAATAAAACAGAAAGAGAGAGAGAGAGAAAAAAAGAGGAAAAAGAACGCAAAAACACGTATATGGGTTACAAACGTTAACGACACATTCTGCGTGCCCACTTCGTTTGTCGGATTGATCGAGTTTGTTAAATTAAACTTGATATTCTGCATCGATGCTTCTCATGGGTCGGGTTTTTACGCGTCCGACTCAACTGCTACAGTGCTCGCATGTCAAAAGTCGCAGATTGCAAAACGACTGAGGAAAGGGAGGAAAAAAAGGGATATAGGAAAGAGAGAGAGAGGGAGGAAAAACAGAGAATTCGCGCGCGAATAGAATTTCGCGGAAACCGAATGGAAACGGCCAATGGACCGAGTGAAAAGAGTCGCCGACTACTCCGAAACGAGCATTCCGACGCGACGCGTCCGATGTAGTTCCTCGTTGAATTCCGGTTGAAAGAGAAACTTTAACTCTTTTACCCGTGAATATATTATGCTGTTTATGTATGTC